CTCATATGATTAGATCGATACAGGATAAGGTTCTAAGGATTAGACGATGGACAGCTTTGAGGGTCCATTATTTTATCTGCCACAATCTATGTTCAGCTATTGGAAACGGTAGAAGATCTTTCTTTTAGAAGTATTCCCACCACAATCTCATTCTTCACAATTCTGTTTTTTAAAAACCGGCTTCCTCAATTTCTTCTGTTCTCCATTTTGTTCTCTCAAAGTATGCTTCTGTCAATGGCCAATTCCTCATTGATTTCCCCCTCTCCCTTTACATCATTTTCTGTTAAGCACTCTACAGACCAGTCCGAATCCTCTAACTCTATAGATTTCTTTATATTCCAGATGTCATCTTTCTTCCTCTTCCTTGCTATACATCCTCTCCTCTGCTATCCTTTATGTTACCCTATATGTCGTTTCAATACATATCCCTCTAGATTCATGTTTTGTGTGTCCCAGAAATAGGTCAGAAAGAGATGGTAAATGACTGATGTCAACCATCTTCTCCCAAGTGAACACATATAAGCCCACCACTTTTTATTGCAGATATAACTGTATGGTTTTCCTGAGAAACACATCTTTCAAATGATTGCATTTTTGCCCTTTGATGAAGGGCTAGATGTGAGAGATAGTGAACATAGTTCATCCCATCGCCAATTAATCTGATCTGTATTTCTAGCTGTGATTATAGATTTTAATTCTTTATGAAGTTATCATCATGTTTATAGGGAAATTTTTTTCTCATGATATTTAATTTAAATGTCTTGTAGAAAAAGAAAAATCTCAATTGCCTGGGTTGCATTTTATACAAATTCAGGTAATGAATACACCTGCCCTAGTTTAAAATGTTACGTTGACACTTTTGGAGAGGAAATTTTTCTAGCATTACAAATGCATTTTTAAAAATGTTCTCTAAAATATAATTTTTAGTCTACACTAGAAACCAACTGCAAGATTTTTTTCTATCCAGGCTGTTATAGCTAAAAGTACACATTTTCTTCCCCAATACATATAAATCTCTCTGAAAAAATAAGCCTTTTTCAGCAGTGATTTAAGAAGAGGGATTTCAAATATTCATAGGTATCCCCAAATATGCATTATTTGCAAGCACCTAAATTTCCAGGGATTGTATAAAAATATAGTACAATTTCTAGAAATCAGTAATGAGTTAACATCTACAAAGGGTTGTCTAATACCACTATTTTTTTTTCTTATTTTACACTATTGATCCACTCTATAGTTTTTTCTCCCCAAGTAGGGATAATTCAGTAACAGACCAGGGGTCACTTGAATACAGTCATACCTATATAAATAGAGAAAATGTGTTCTAATACTTGCTTCATTAGAACCAAGTTGAATTAACATACGAGGTATAGGATATGTTTGAAGATAAGCAAGTTATAATGAAACCTAATTCAGTGTTAACTAAAATAAAAGCAGATGATCTTGGGGCACCTGGGTGGCTCAGTGGGTTAAAGCCTCTGCCTTCAGCTCAGGTCATGGTCCCAGGGTCATGGGATCAAGCCCTGCATCGGGCTTTCTGCTCAGCAGGGAGCCTGCTTCCTCCTCTCTCTCTGCCTGCCTCTCTGCCTACTTGTGATCTCTGTCAAATAAATAAATAAAAGCTTAAAAAAAAAAGCAGATGATCTTCAAAATATACAATATTTGTCAGAGGTAGCAATGGATGCTAAGAATTTTTAAAATTGAGTATACTTAAGCATAAGCATCACTCGAGGAGTTTATTAAATATGAGGATTTCTGGCCTTACTTTTAAAGATGAGTTTGTTGGCCAGAGAGGTGGTCAGGAACCTCCATTCTGGTGGTTTGGATGTTAGAGGTTTTTGAGGTGCCTTTTTTTTTTTTAAAGGATTTTATTTATTTATTTATTTATTTATTTATTTATTTATCTATCTATCTATCTATCTATTCTAGAGAGAGAGCACACCAGAGTTCAAGCCCAGGGGAAGGGCAGACTGGGAAGGAGAGTGAGAGAAACTCCGGAGCAGACTTCCTGCTGAGCCCTGAGCCTGATGGTGCTCGATCTCAGGACCATGAGATCATGATTGAGCGGAACCAAGAGTGGGATGCTTAACAGACTGAGCCACCCAGGCACCCTCCCCACTGCCGAAGGTGCTTTTTGAAACACTGGGTTAAGTAAAGCTAAGGAAATGAGTAAGGGACCAATAGTGCTCAGTGGAGGAAGAGACATGGCTTAGAGAAGAAACCCACTAGTGGACCCAAGTAGGGACAGGGTGATCCTGGATTAAACTGGTGACAAGATACACAGGAGTGGCAGTGGCAGTATGACCCTCTGCTCCACCAGCCTCTCCCCTAGTTTTTATTTTTTTTATTTTTATTTATTTATTTGACAGACAGAGATCACAAGTAGGCAGAGAGGCAGGCAGAGAGAGGAGGAACCAGGCTCCCCGCTGAGCAGAGAGCCCGATGCGGGGCTCCATCCCAGGACCCTGGGATCATGACCTGAGCTGAAGGCAGAGGCTTTAAGCCACTGAGCCACCAGGCGCCCCATCCCCTAGTTTTTGGTGGGGACAACTCATGTTTCTCAGGCTTTAGGAAGTGTTTGGCAAACACAACTTCAAGGCAAACCCCTAACCATTCCTCCCACTTGCATACCTCCTCTTATAAAGGTGTTGTGGAAACTTCACTGGGCTCCAGAACTCAAAACTAGAAGAGCTAGTAGAGGCGCCTGTTAAGCATCTGCCTTCAGCTCAGGACATGATCTCAGGACCTGTGATGGATCCCTGAATCAAATCAGGCTTCCGTCTCAGCAGGAGCCTGCTTCTCCCTCTCCCCTTGCCCACAGCACCCACCCTTGTGCTCTTTGCTCTCTTGTGTGCTCTCTCCCTCATACAAATAAATAAGTAAAAACTTAAAAAAAAAAAAAAAAACAGCTTTGAGAGCTAGCTTTTTAGGACTCTCCGTAGGAAACAGACCCGCCCAGCCTGCATTGTCTTTGTCCCCAGAAATCTAATTCAGAAACAGCCAGATGCCAGGCTGGTCTGCCCAACAGACCCCTCTTTGAGGCCACTGAGTGGTTTGCCCAGGTCTCAGATTGTCTCTTGCTTAGAACCCGCTTGCGACAGCAACACGGAGAGGGAGACAGTGCAGCAGGTGGAGGCGTCATGGGCAGGCAGAGGTGTGACTTCAAAAGGCTCCTGTTCCTCCCCAAGGCTGGTCCTGTTGCCTTTCAGTGGAGCCGCCACTGGAGAAGCTAAGCACGCTGGCTTCTCAGGCAGCTTACCTTCCCATCCCTTCTGATTTTGTTTGTTTAGGTTTTTAACACAAATGACTTCTTAGAAGGCCTTTACTTCCCAGGGAATTCACTAATCAAGGTAATACTCTATTTATTTGCACAAACAAAGCTTTATGAAAGAGAAATTCATTCATTAACTAAGAAATGTGATCATTTCCACTGTTGTACCTGAGGGCTTCAAAGCACCATTGTCGTTGTTCACATCAATTAATCCAGGTGACTGGGAAATGTGAGTAAGACAGGGCTCAACCATATCCCAACTGATTTTACAAGATTAAAAAAAACAAACCCAAGTCTAAGATATCTAAACTCATGTTGTCTTAAACATGTTAAGAACTTGCTTCATAGGAAAGAATAATTACAGTACAGGGGAGAGGACAGTCACATCTTTCTAGAATGAAGTAATTTTATTCCATAAAACTTATTGGAGCTTGGAAAGTTTCAAGCAGCCTTTTCCTTTGTGCTGGGAATAGGCTTGTAAGAAGTACCTCCTTCAGGTGTGGTGAATGTCATGTTAGCATCTAGCTAGGGAATATGAAAAACAATGTTTGATAATTTTGTTTATTATTAAAATGGTTTCATAGTCTAAATAAAGATGGATATTAGATTTCAAAATAAATATTTATTAGATCTAATTAATTAGGAATTAACTATTAATAGTCTTAATACTCAATTCAAAAGACAATTTATGATTAATAAGGAAAAAAAAGAGTTGGTAAGTATCCATTTCTTCCAAATAACAAATTATATAAATTTCAGAACTGAGGAAAATGGGTTTTTTTAGTGAAGTTCTTAAAGTTACAAAAGAAAGTACCTGAAAGTATCAAACAAAGTTTTTTGCAGGAATATATAATTAATTGATCTCCTACACATTCTACCTGCCCAACTAATTCTTTCAATATTTTTTATTGAGATATAATTTACATACCATATAATTCTCCCTTTTAAAATGTTCCGTGGGTTTTGATATTTCACAAAGTTAAACAACCTCACAACTACCTAATTCTAGAATATTCTACCATGCTAGATAGAAACCCTTAAGCCCCTGGGTGACTCAGTCTGTTAAGCATCTGACTTTGGCTCAGGTCATGATCCCAGGGTCCTGGGATGGAGTCCTGTGTCTGGCTCCCAGCTCAGTGTGGAGTCTGCTTCTCCCTCTCTCTTTGTCCCTCCCCCTGCTCATTCTCTCTCTCTTTCCCTCTTTCTCTCTCTCAAATAACTAACTAAATAAATAAAATCATTAAAAAGAAACCCTGACCTTTAGCAGGCACACCTCATTCCTTCCCACCCCACTCTCATTCTCTTAACAACTACTAATCTATTTCTATCCATATAGATTTGCTTTTCCTGGCTATTTCATATAAATGGAATCATACATGTGACTTTTATGTCTGACTTCTTTCAGCTAGCATAATGATTTCTAGGTTCATCCATGTTTTAACGTGTATCAGGATTTCACTCTTTGTTGTAGCTAAATAATAGCATACTGTACGGATATACCACATTTTGCTTATCTATTCATCAGTTAATGGGATGCCTTGAGCTATTATGAATAATGCTGCCATGAACATTTGTGTGCAAGTTTTTGTGTAGGCATATATTTTTTTTAAAGATTATGTTCATTTATTTGACAGAGACACAGCGAGAGAGGGAACAGAAGTAGGGGGAGCGGGAGAGGGAGAAGCAGGCTTCCTGCTGATCAGGGAGCCCAATGCGGGGCTCCATCCCAGGACCCTGGGGTCATGACCTGAGCCAAAGGTGGAAGCTTAACAACTGAGCCACCCTGGTGTCCCTAATAGCACTTTATATTTAGACAGAAACCAGTTTGTTTCACATCATCATTTCTGTATTGCTAACATGAATTCAAAGCAGGTATGCAGTTGCCTTCATACTAGAGCAAATCAGGACATCAAGACACAGTTGCCATCATCAAATCTTAATCTTCGGAGAACAACATCTCCACGAGGTTGGCCTGAAGACACTCAGATTCCACCAGTTTTGGGGGTGTTCCGTATTTAAGTAGTGTAGGGACTGCCGTCACTTTCAGATTTTTTCTGAAGTCATTATTTGGATCTTTCCAATAGGGTTTCTCTCCCACCTGGCAGTAGATGAACACACACCCCTCACTCATGTGCTTCAGCCCCTCTCGAACGACCGGTTCAGCCTGCACGCAGTCGGGGCACCAGCTCCACCCGCCCGCGTCCTTGGAGCGGGTGAAGTAGGCGAAGATGGTCTTGTCGCGCTGCCGCAGCGCGGCCGGCTGAACTCCTCGAAGCCGCGCACACTCAGCTCTTCGCGGCCCGCCATCGCTCCGCCGGCCAGGGTCTCGGGACTGTGTAGGCATATTTTTTAAAGTTTTTATTTAAATTCCAGTTAGTTAACATACAGTGTAATATTAGTTTCAGGTGTACAAATAGTGATTCAATACTTCCTGTGTTCTTCACAAGTGCACTTCTTAGTCTCCATCACCTATTTTACCCGTCCTTTCTGGGTGGGTGAAATTTCACCCATCATCTCCCCTCCGGTAACCATCAGTATATTCTCGAGCATTAAGAGCCTCTTTCTTGGTTTGCCTCTCTCTTTTTTTCCCTAGGCTTGTTTGTTTTGTTTCTTAAAGTCCACATGTAAATGAAATCATATAGTATTTGTCTTTCTCTGACAGACTTATTCTGCCTAGCATCATACTCTCTAGCTCCATCTCAAATGGCAAGACTTTATTCTTTTTGATGGCTGAGTTACATATATATATATATATGCACACACACGTATATATACATGTATATATATACACGTGTGTATATATACTTATATATACATATATGTGTGTATGTATATATATGTGTGTGTATATATATTATATATATATTGTATATATATATATATATATATAAACACGTGGTATATATATACCATGTGTTTTTTACCCATTCAATGGTCGATGGACATTTGGGCTCTTTCCATAATTTGGCTATTATAGACAATGCCGCTATGAACATTGGGGTGCATGTACTCCTTCAAATCTGTATTTGGTACCCTTTGGGTAAATAACTAGTTGTGCAATTGCTGGATGGTAGGATAGTTTCCTTTTCAACTCTTTGAGGAACCTCCATACTGTTATCCAGAGTGGCTGTAGTACTTTGCATTAACAGTGCAAGAGGGTTTCCCTTTCTCTGCATCCTTGTCAATTGTATGGGCATATGTTTTCAGTTCTCTTGTGTTTACCCTTATGAGTGGTGCTGGATCATATAGTAACTCTATGTGTAATTTTTTGAGAAGATACTAAATAGTTTTCCTAAGTAGCTTCACCATTTTATGTCCCCTCCAACAATGTCTGAGGCTTCTAATTTCCCCACATCCTCACCAACACTTGATATTGTCTTTTTTATTGTAGCCATTTTAAGGAGTGTGAAATGGTATCTCACTGTGGTTTTGATTTACATTTTGTGTCTTTAAGTATTTAGAAACAATTCAGTGGTGGAAAGGAAATTCATGATGTTTTCATACTTCTAAATTAACTGAAAAAGGAAAGTGACTCTAGAATAACTTCATACTTTACCTATTTATTTATATATCAGTCTGTTAATCAAAAGGATACATATGGCTTATCAAAATATATAATATAACATAAATGTAGAAAAATATAATATATTACTATTCAGTAATAGAACTTACTGTGTTAGGCAAGGAGAAAACAGGTAAGGTAACTTGTAATATGCAACCGGTGTATTATAAGTCTTGTACACTCACCAGAGGTAGGTTAAAATTTTGCCTTTGAGCTTCCTGGTACCAAAACGATAAAATGACAAACTGCAAAATCCGTAATGCTTATGTGACTAAAAACAGTTTAGAATCTTTTACTGACTGTTGTAGAGTCTCTGTTGTCTGTGTGATCCCTCCAGCCTCCAGAAGGTCCTGAATCTTGATGCGATCCTCTTCATTGCTGACTATTCCAGATGATAGAAGAGTTACAATTAACCTCTCACTTTCTCCCACCTGCCAAGTCCTTATGTATACCCTGCTTTCCCTGCCCTTTGTTACCACGGAGCAAATTCAAACACCAGTCTTCCAGACCAAACTCATGTTCTTTTGTCTTGGTAGGTCCTTCATACCCCAGATAGAATTGATTTTCCTCTCTGTTTTGCCTTAGCACTTTGTAAGTAAGCATTGTATAGAATTTATTGCCGTGATTCATGTATGTGTCACCCTTCCCCAGTGGACAGGGATTGGTTTCACAGGAGGGAAGTGTCTTCATTTTCATACCCTCAGGCGGGGCACAAAGCAGGCACTCAGGAAAGGGCGGTTGTGTCAAATCAATTTCATCAGTTGCTCCTGACTTCCCACCCTCCCTCGAATACAGGTCAGTTGTTACTATCCCTCTTTATAAGTGACTCCCAGAATGAAAATATGCTTTTCATATTTTAGTCTATTGGTGTTCAGGAGGCCCATCTGTTCTGCAAACCAGGTTTTCCTCAGCTTCCACTTTCTAATCTAAATTTAAGCCTTTACTTGTATCCCTGATGAATATCATTTTGTTTTCCACAGGAAGAGATAACTTCATCTTGTCAGACTAAAATGATATATTTCGGTTTTAATTTTGTCATCCATTATTTCCACTCTGTCAACCAGTTTGATGTCATCTGTGTAGGGGAGGATAATATGACATATGTGTATGCATTTGCCTTTTTAATATAATTATGTATTAAGTGCCAAAGGAAAAAAAATATCCAGTACAACTAATTATTTATAGGGAAATTATTCTTGTACTTCTAATTCAGGATTTTAAAATATCACATCTCTTTCTCCCTCCACCACGACCAAAGCTTGCAATAGCTGCGGAAAACTACGTCATCATTGAATATGTGTGTTCTCTGCCTGATACGTCTCCCTGACCCCCACAGACATGTAGTGAGCAATCATTGTGTCCCCACTACACACTCCTGTGCCATCCTGTATGTTCATTATCTTAGAGCTTACACATTTTATATAATAGTTTGTACAGTTAACTCTTTCTGCTTTATTCAGTATCCCAACAGCTTAACACATTGCCTGGCTAAAATTTTATTCAAGTCAAATCTACTTTAGATCAATTATATAATATGTATAAATACTATATTCTTTCATGTGGTCAGTAACTAAAAAGAGGGGGTATGATAATATATAAAGCAAGAGACATTAAATTTCAGGGAAAGTTAAAGCAGTCAGTAGATCAGATTATTTTTCTCTGATAGGACTATTTCAGGTTTACCATAAATTAATCAAATAATGACTTACATTCAGCAAAAATTTTTTTTAAAAGATTTTATTTATTGATTTGACAGAGAGAGATCACAAGTAGACAGAGAGGCAAGCAGAGAGAGAGAGAGAGAGAGAGGGAAGCAGGCTCCCTGCTGAGCAGAGAGCCCGATGCGGGACTCGATCCCAGGACCCTGAGATCATGACCTGAGCCGAAGGCAGCGGCTTTACCCACTGAGCCACCCAGGCGCCCACATTCAGCAAAATTTAAAACCTTTTAAAATAAGGTATCTAATAATTTGTGAGTGAACAAAATGTTAGTTTGAAATGTAATCATTCCAAGCTTATTTTTATTCGTTGTTCTGAGCGCTTTCCAAAACTCTAGGCTGAAAGGCTAAATCAACAGGGGCGTCTTAGGTGCTACTTGAGGGCTCTTATTCCTGAAGCATTAAAGGGAACTTATTAGAAGCCACTCACACCCCAAAGGAGGTCCCACAGTGGGAAGGCTAAGGAGTGTTATGGTGAGATCTCAGTAAAATTTGGTTTTTAAATATTCCACTCTGCAAGATATCCCCATGATATAAATAGTCCTAATTAGCACAGAATTTCAGTTGCTTCATACAAAATGCTGCAGTGCAATTTAAGGCTGCTTAAAATTATAACTTGTTCCATTTGGCAAACGAAGCCCAGGTCTTAGGAAATGTGGAGCTGTAGTGTGCAGGAATGCAGGCAGGCTGTGCAAGCTCCCTCCACATCTGAGAGAGCCTTTTTGTTGACCTTACACTGAATCCTTATGTTTGAATATATCATCAGGATGCAACAGCCAGCTACTGGCTAACTGACAAGAGAAACTTCTGGAACACTAGGGCAGAAAAATGTTAAGAAGTGGAAAACTACTGAAACTGAAGTTATTCAAATATGGTTTGCTTCTTAACATACATTCACATAAGCAGCCCTAATGAAGAGTAGGTTTTCTGTTAGCAGATGCTAAAGAGACAAAAATCCTGTTTCTGTCCACTTTCTTTCCTTTTGGGGAAAGGTTAGCTATTGGATGCCTTGAAAAAAAAAATCTCTAATTCCTAAACCCACCCAATATTTTTAGTATCTTGACATCTATATTTATGTTCTATCAAAAAGTTAATAGTATGAAGGACTTATTATAAATCCTGAGCTTTATTTTCTGAGTCAGAACAGCAGTTATTAAGGATTCACATGCACAAGGCACTACATGCTACAACATGGTCCTGTTCTTAAGAAATTTACAATCGAAAAGAGATCATTCCGCACAAGAAGGATTTTTTTCCCCTACTTCCTTCCACGAGCATAAAAAAATAAAGTATAAGAATTAAGAAAATGAAGAAACATTATGCTACTTACAAACTGTCAAGAAAATGTGCATGAGGGGGGAAAAAGTGAGGCAGAAGATAAAGAGAATGGGTACAAAGGATATAAATAGATTAAGAAATGATTGCATACGGCAAATGAGATTATACTGTAACTCAAACATGCCTGCATAGCGCAAGCAGAATTATGTCTTTTTTTTTTTTTTTAAGATTTATTTATTTGTTTGAGAAAGAGAGAGAGGCAGAGGGAGAGGGAACATCAAGCAGGCTCCGCACAGAATACAGAGTCTGATGCAGGGCTCAATTGTAGGACTCTAAGATCATGATCCAAGTGGAAAACAAGAGTCAGTTGCCCAACTGACTATACTACCCAGGCACCCCCAGAATTCTGTCTTAATGAAGACCAAGCCACCTCCTGGGATACAACTCACCTAGACTGAGAGCCAAATTCCCCCAGCATGGTGGAAGATTCGTGTCAGGGTCTGGAGAGTAAGATGTACAAGGATACTGCCCTTGGATGGTCCCCCATGGAATTGTGCCTGAAGCCTCCCAAGAAGACAGCCCAAGGATGAACACCAACAGTGTTGTTTTCATTAGAGTCTATAAAGACATGTAGCATGCTTCCCCACTGCATTGACAAAGTAGGCCATGAAGGGGGTACCCCGCGGTAATGAAAATTACTGTGACTTGGTGTTGCTGAAAGTGTTGGCTCATTGGCAGCTTTGGCAGTTT